CAGCATAAAAGAGGGGGTGGGGGGGAACAATGCAAATAGTCCGGGTAGCCATTTGATTAGCTGTTCAGCAGTCTTATAGCTTGGGGGTAGAAGGTGCTAAGACGCCTTTTGGACATAGACTTGGCGCTCCGGTACGGTAGCAGAGAGAACAGTCTATGACTAGGGTGGCTGGAGTCTTTTTTAGGGCCTTCCTCTGACACCGCCTGGTATAGAGGTCCTGGATGGCAGGAAGCTTGGCCCCAGTGATGTATTGGGCCGTACACACTACCCTCTGTAGTGCCTTGCAGTCGGAGGCCGAGCAGTTGCCATACCAGGTGGTGATGCAACCAGTCAGGATGCTCTCGATGGTGCAGCTGTATAATTTTATGAGGATCTGAGGACCCACGCCAAATCTTTTCAGTCTCCTGAGAGGGAATAGGCTTTGTCGTGCCCTCTTCACGACTGTCTTGGTGTGTTTGGACCATGATAGTTTGTTGGTGATGTGGACACCAAGGAACTTGAAGCTCTCAACCTGCTCCACTACATCCCCGTCAATGAGAATGGGGGCGTGCTCGGTCCTCTTCTTTTTCCTGTAGTCCACAATCATCTCCTTTGTCTTGAACACGTTGAGGGAGAGGTTGTTATCCTTGCACCACACGGACAAGTCTCTGACCTCCTCCCTATAGGCGGTCTCATCGTTGTCGGTGATCAGGCCTACCACTGTTGTGCCGTCTGCAAACTTAGTCGAGCCTGGCCATGGGTAAACAGGGAGTACAGGAGCGGACTGAACACGCACCCCTGAGGGGCCCCGTGTTGAGGATCAGCGTGGCAGATTTGTTACCTACCCTTACCACCTGGGGGCGGCCCGTCAGGAAGTCCAGGATCCAGTTGCAGAGGGAGGTGTTTAGTACCAGGGTCCTTAGCTTAGTGATGAGCTTTGAAGGCACTATGGTGTTGAACACTGAGCTGTAGTCAATGAATAGCATTCTCACGTAAGTTTTCCTTTTGTCCAGGTGGGAAAGGGCAGTGTGGAGTGCAATACAGATCGCATCATCTGTGGATCTGTTGGGGCGGTATGCAAATTGGAGTGGGTCTAGGGTTTCTGGGATAATGGTGTTGATGTGAGCCATGACCAGCCTTTCAAAGCTATGCATGGCTACAGATGTGAGTGCTACGGGTCTGTAGTCATTTAGACAGGTTACCTTAGTGTTCTTGGGCACAGGGACTATGGTGGTCTGCTTGAAACATGTTGGTATTACAGACTCAGTCAGGGACAGGTTGAGAATGTCAGTGAAGACACTTGCCAGTTGGTCAGGGCATGCTCGGAGTACACGTCCTGGTAATCAGTCTGGCCCTGCGGCCTTGTGAATGTTGATCTGTTTAAAGGTCTTACTCACATCGGCTACGGAGAGCGTGATCACACAGTCGTTCGGAACAGCTGATGCTCTCATGCATGCTTCAGTGTTGCTTGCCTCAAAGTAATTTAGCTCGTCTGGTAGGCTTGTGTCACTGGGCAGCTCGCGGCTGTGCTTCCCTTTGTAATCTGTAATAGTTTGCAAGCCCTGCCACATCCGACAAGCACTGGAGCCGGTGTAGTACGATTCAATCTTAGTCCTGTATTGACGCTTTGCCTGTTTGATGGTTCATCGGAGGGCATAGCAGGATTTCTTATAAGCGTCCTGGTTAGAGTTCCGCTGAAAGCGGCAGCTCTACCCTTTAGCTCATTGCGGATGTTGCCTGTAATCCATGGCTTCTGGTTCGGGTATGTACGTACGGTTACTGTGGGGACGACGTCGTCAATGCACTTATTGATGAAGCCAGTGACTAATGTTGTGTACTCCTCAATGCCATCGGTAGAATCCCGGGAACATATTCCAGTCTGTGCTAGCAAAACAGTCCTGTAGTTTAGCATCTGCGTCATCTGACCACTTCTTTATTGACCATGTCACTGGTGCTTCCTGCTTTAGATTTTGCTTATAAGCAGGAATCAGGAGGATAGAGTTATGGTCAGATTTGCCAATTGGAGGGTGAGGGAGAGCTTTGTACGCGTCTCTGTGTGTTGAGTAAAGGTGGTCTAGAGTTTTTTTCCCTCGCCTTCCGTTATAACTGTTTTTACTATAGGGCTCCACTTAAAAAGAGACCCTAGCTCACAGGCCTCTAAATAAATGTTAAACAAAATAATTGAAGAAGCAAGTGCAGTGGTTGATAAGGAAAACAGATCTGGCAATAAGAATAGGCTATATATAGTCTTGACCATTTGGGACCACTTGGCCACATTTCGCTCAGGACAGGTTATAGCCAAGACTTAATCAATATTTTGTTTTATCTCATTTATTTAAATGGATATAGCCTCTGTGTGATGGTGATGTGCAACGCAAATGGCTATAACAAGCTTACATACAGAGTGGAATTCATTAATAAAACAGCCTAATATAAGGCCTACAGTCAGTGCTCCCAAATACTCTAAAAAGTGTGATTCAAAAGGTTGCATGATCACCACAATAGCCCCATGCGGCTATAAAAATAAATTATGCAATTATGTGGCTATTAAAATAACACAACAGCATGGCATATTAGATAGTGGAATAGGCCTAGCTTAAATCAGATGCACTTTCTATTTTGCAGCTCAGGCGCTTATTCTAGACAAGACCCTTCTGTGTCTTTGTCATTCTCACACAAGTCATTTGTTGAAAGCCCAAGCCTATACCAGGTCATCTACTGGTATAACGTCGTTATTGAATGCAGTTCTAAAACAAGCTCTAGACTTTTATTTTGGAAATGAAACCGGAAGCTGCAAAGCAACTCTAACGTCTGGGCTAGAGTTGCTTGATTGACTAGCTACGTTCGGTTCATGTCCTTTGCAGGTGCCACATTACTGACAAAAGTTTGTACGTATAACAAATCTCTGTAACCGAGTAAAGGGAGACGTAAAGTAAGAAATGTTAATTCATAGTCATAACATAGTTTTCAGATTTTTTTTTTTACATTTCATGTTTCACGCATGGCTTTTCTTACGATATGTACTTTCAACCTTTTGGCAGGTAGCTGGATCCATAGTAGGGGGAGGGGGAATAGAGAGGAAGAGAGTTGTGAGGAGGACACGCAGAAGCTGTCGCAAATATAGAACCAGCCAGCACCCCAATGACTAAGGTTTGACGCTCTCTCTGCCCTGGTGTAAAATAATATATTCCCCAGTGATTTCAGTTTACATTCAGTTACTGCCATAAAGGGCCAGTTGTTGATTTTGAGTATTTTTCTTTATTTGAGTAAGAACAAGCCTTTGGGACATGAAGATTCCCCAAGGTACCTGTGAACCATTTTGAGTTAATGAATCCCCTTTTTGAGAACTAAATTGTCTGTCTCTTGGTTTTGCACTACCACAGGTGACACACTCCTCCACCTACGGAGTTGTTGCACTTACTTTTTATACATTTTATTATCAGTTTTTTTATATGGAACTTTGCATTGTACTATGAAACAGCTTGAAGTGTAAAAAAAAACATTTGTCAACCAGCCTTTTTAGCTTGGCTAATCAATGACTCCTTTGTGTTATGTTCTTTGATAACATTTGATCTCTTATTGGCATGATTGTTTTACATTTTATTGTTATAAATGTGTTGCTATTTTAGGGCCGAGCACACCCCCATTCACATCGACGGGGCTGTAGTGGAGACCGTTGAGAGCTTCAAGTTCCTCGGTGTCCACAACACTAAGGACCTATCATGGTCCAAACACACCAACACACTCGTGAAGAGAGCTTGACAACGCCTCTTCCCCCTCAGGAGGCTGAAAAGAAAAATGTTCTACAGCTGCACTATTGAGATTATCCTGACTGGCTGCATTACCGCTTGGTAGGGCAACTGCTCGGCATCCGACCGCAAGACACTACAGAGGGTAGTGTGTATGACCCAGTACATTGCTGGGGCCGAGCACCCTGTCATCCAGGACCTATATACCAGGCGGTGTCAGAGGAAGGCCCTAAAAATGGTCAGACACCAGCCACCCAAGTCAGTCGGTTCTCTCTGCTACAGCACGGCAAGCGGTACTGGAGTGCCAAGACTGGGACCAAAAGGCTTCTGAACAGCTTCTACCCCAAAGCCATAAGACTGCTGAACAGTTCATCGAATGGCTACACATACTTTATGCTTTTCACACCTACCTACATGCACATAGTAGTTAAATCAATCACCCCAACTACCTCGTACCCCAGTACACTGACACGGTACTGGTACTCCTTGTGTATATATATATATAGCCTCGTTATTGTTATTTCATTATTATTTTATTGTGTTACTATTTTATCTATTTGCCAAAAAAATGTTAAACTGCAATGACAGAAAAGGGCTAAGTGTGGTCCTCTGTAGCTCAATTGGTAGAGCATGGCGCTTGTAACGCCAGGGTAGTGGGTTCGATCCCCGGGTCCACCCATACGTAAAAATGTATGCGCACATGACTAAGTCGCTTTGGATAAAAGCGTCTGCTAAATGGCATATTATTATTATAAGCATTTCACGATAAAGTCTACACTTACATTTACATTTTAGTCATTTAGCAGACGCTATTATCCAGAGCAACTTACAGTTAGTGAGTGCATACATTTTCATACTTGTGTGACCAATAACATTTGATTTGATTTTGAAATGCACATCAAATAAAGTTTGATTTGAAGTTAGATTTGATATTGGATCTTTAATTGATGATTGTATGAATATAGACTCCATTAACCTTAGTCTATAATTCTTAAGGCATTAAAAAATGTATTAACTAGGTTATAGGCCGACTGGTCAAGCTCTGTTTTTATCATGACTTCGCAATACTGAGTTTGTACTTATCATTAAACATATTCTGACGTACATTTCCACACTTGGAAACAGGCCATTTTATGCAGACAGTAGCCTACATATGACTGCATTTTAAATTGGGCTCCCAGTACGGCTTTCCTTCCGTGCTATTATGACGCATATGGCAGTTCCTTCTCTTCCTTGCCTGTCACGTGGCTTGGTTTCCATAGTAACGTATCCATTTTGGTTGTTCTGACGCTGGACTGAAGCAAACTGTGGATGTGCTAGCAACAAACAAGCACTTTACGTGTGGATATAGATAGCTAACTAGCTAAGCTATTGTTATATTTTTACAGTAGCAAGCTTGCTAGCTAGTTAACCGTTCCCGTAACGTAGCTAGATAAGTACTGAAAGGTAAGCAACTAACGTTAGCTAGCTTTGGCAATCAGTGTCATGATTAGCTAGCTACGTTAGCTAACTAGCTACCAAGCAGGCTCCTTAATTAAATAACTAATATGTAGCTAACAGTAACGTTAATCTGCCGTTGACGTTATCTAGCTAAGGTCAGCTAGGTGTTTCTAATAGACTTATTTCGGTCTGGCACCATGCTAACGTTATGTTGTGACCCCTCTGAAAAGTTTAGTTAATCTTGTTGTTTCATAATTCTAGAGTTGGTGGCCAAAGCGGGCCAGTGAGGAGGACAGAATGTCGGGCGACCTGGTAGGGGTGTGGGAAGTGGCCCTGAGCGATGGAGTCCATAGAATTGAGTTTGAACATGGCACAACAACGGGGAAAAGGGTAATCTACATAGACGGAAAGGTAAAACTTGATCAATAATGTTTACGTTACACTTAACCCTATGTATTAGACAAGCTCACTCGACTCTCTCTCTGTTTGAGATGGAGTGGTAGCTTCTCTTCATCTCCCTCAATGGCAGTAGCATTCAGAGTACCATTTGACATGCATGCCTTTGCTATGTATTGCATTTGTGTGTGTGTGTTTTAGCCTACAATTACTACTCGGGTACTGTCCAAAAAGTAAATGTAGGAATTTTGAATGTAGGTATAATATTATCATAGTATGACAATAACATACAGTCACACTGAATTATTGTCCCGCTTGCATTTTTTCCTTTGCCCAGGAAATTGTAAGGAGAGACTGGATGTTCAAGCTGGTGGGAAAGGAGACCTTCAACGTGGGAAGCGCGGCCACCAAAGCGACCATTAACATTGACGCAGTGAGCGGCTTTGCTTATGAATACACACTGGAGATCAATGGGAAGAGCCTGAAAACGTACATGGAGAACCGCTCCAAAGTCACCAGCACTTGGCTGCTCAATCTGGACGGCATCGACTGCAGGGTCGTCCTGGGTAAAATATGTGCCCTATTGGTCCATTTCCTCTCCCCAGCTTGTATTGCAAACATATTGCGGGTTATTGCGGGTGTAGTGAAATTCTTATAAGGGAAAACAGGTTTTGATGGTGGCCTCTATTGGCACATTGTCTGCCCGACTCACTATGGCATTAGGTTTTATTGAGCCATTGAGATTTATTTACAAAGTGCAAAAGATTGCTGTGGCAATGTTTGTCTTTTGTGGGTGTTTGCAAAGCACCTCCCATAAAATATAAATCACATCAAATGACTGAAGTCTGAATTCTGATAGGCTATCTCAGCCACTCCGTAACTTCAAAGTGAAATAGATGGGTTCAAAATACACTTGCCTGTTTTTAATAAGCCCCAAAGGTAACATTAGGTCTGACTTGTTGTAACACAATGAAAGGCAATGGTGCTAAACAAAATCAATGACCTGGTTACAAACCCATGTGTTAGGTTCTTGGTTGTTGCATTTATTAGTTTATGAGGATATGGAACTGACAATTTACCATTGCATTAGCTAGGCTATAGTACCTTTGACGGTTCTCTATTGAACAGAGTGGGTGTGACTGTAAAAACATTCACTCCTAGTATTGTTAGGTGAGTGTTAGCCTATTTCTTTATGCTACACCCCTTCCAACTCGCGCCCCTCAACAACTTGCTAGTTTTTTTTTTTATTGTGCCCAGCAACCAAAACAAAGACCACATGAATTGACTGGACTATTTAGAATAGCAATGCTTATCTTCCACTGATGTTATGTCATGGATGAGGCTGTTATTTTTATTTCACACCACCATCCTAGGGCTTATGGAAAATAGTAGGCCTTGTAACTGTTCCAGACTGGGAAAGACAGGTAGCCTAGAGGTTAAAGAGGTGGGCCAGTAACCAGAGGGTTGCCAGTTCCAATCCTGGGTCTGAGGGGAAAATCAAGAGCTGGATGAGAGCTGGCAACTGGAGATGCTATCACCTGCTGTTGTGCCCTTGAGCAAGGCACCTCTCACCTGAAACTGCTCCAGGGGCACATTTCTATGGCCTACTTCTTCATTTTCTTCTTCTTCATTTGGCACTTTGCCAACCTGCCCTCCACCACTGCTCACCTTTTCTAAGAATTGGCTCAGGTGGGTTAATCATCTTGTCTAACTGTTGGGTGAAACAATTCACGTATTTATCATTAATTAGCCACTGCAAATCTCTTTGCTAACTTAACCCTATGTATTAGACAAGCTCACTCGACTCTCTCTCTGTTTGAGATGGAGTGGTAGCTTCTCTTCATCTCCCTCAATGGCAGTAGCATTCAGAGTACCATTTGACATGCATGCCTTTGCTATGTATTGCATTTGTGTGCAATACATAGCTGTCTCCAAAAAGTCAAGGTTTCGCCAGCAATATTTACTTATTGACGTTCTTTGACTTCTCCACTTTACAAGCTCAGAATCCACTTATGTTGGTAGGCAGTTAATTGTATGTGTTCCTTGATTGTATTTGTCAACCCTGTCCCTGTATTCACAGAGAGAAGCAACTGTGCAGTGTTTTTTTCTAGATAAAAAAGGGGGCTTAGGTGGTTGGCGTGGAAATGGGCGCGGTAGGCTTGTTGACACGGCTGATTTGTAGAGAATTTTAGAGGCCCCCATCTTGGCGGTGTAGATAATTTTTATAACTTTTAGTCAATTTTCCTGCAATTCTACACATTTCTCCATGGAGCTGAGAGACATTTGCAGTTTTAAAGCTAATTTCCTGCAATTCTACACATTTTGACATGCAGCTGAGAGAAAATGTTGTCGTTTAAAAGCTACTTTCCTGCAATTCTATGCATTTTGCCATGGCTAATTCTGTGTTATTTTGCTCAAACATAATAACAAAATCAATACTGCTAAATTCATTGTTTTTGGAATTTCCTATTCTCCCTGACTGTCTAGCTTTTATATTGGTGATTGTTAGTTCTCAAAGATTATATTATTTAAAAAAATATATAGGTCATTATCTTTTCTACATACTTTATATCTGGTTTTAGTTCTGGTTTTAGTTGTTTCAGTTTACACTGAAAAGGGTAAACAGAAAAATCCCTGCTGTGTTTACAAGCAGGGGATATCCACGAGTCCACAACCCTTGCTCTCAGAAACAATTGGAGTGTTATGCACACTATCCATAAAAGCCACTGAGGATACTGAAAGCCTGTCATATCTGCATTAAATTATCAGTTTAATTAATTTAATGTGCTCTAAATAGTAACGTGAAAAATAATACTGAAGGAAAACACGTAAATGAATCTAGTTAGGTGTACTACCATAACCAACACGATGCCAAAATGATCTTCTCTCTATCAAGGTTAGCAGGAGAGCATTTGAAAGAGACTGGAGAAATCCAGGTTGATTTGCAGTGCCATTGGTAGCTTTGACTCACGCTCCTTTGAAATCAGTCAAAAGCCTATCTCAATATATAGCCTAAGAAAAATGCTTTACTTTGGCAGAAGCCAAGTCACAGCTATTGTAAAGGCATGTTCTCATGGTGATCATCATCAATCAGGAGTACAATATGTGCTGCTTACATTTTCTGTGTATCCTGAAGTATTTTATTGATGTTTGCCTTATGTGTTATTTTTCTCTTTCCACAGAGAAAGACACCATGGATATTTGGTGTAATGGACAAAAAATGGAGACAGCGGTAAGCATCTTCCCTCCAATCATGCTGAGAATCACTTAACACAAAGATGAACACTAGCAACGCGTATGCCCCGCCTACCTGTCAATCTTCTATTTCCTGTTTGAGGGGTGCAAAATCCACTTGTCACTTAAATTTTGCTGGATCGATTGCTTTTATTATAATCCTGCGACTCTTTCATACTCTTGCTTGTGCCTTTAGTTTTTTCCCGTTAACGTTACAACTGCGGAAATATTTGTAATGTCCTGTCAAGCACACTCCGGTAATGGCTGAAATGGGCTCAATGGAATACGTTGTCTTTCCGTTGCATCTATAAGAATGTTTAAGCTTTGTTGTGGATTTTAACACATCTCGACACTTACATCACAAGAAAGAGAAGAAAGCTACCTTTATTTTGATGGGTGTTCATTTTTGGGGAATTGAAGAAAGTAATAATTTAATACAGTTGAAATGTTTACAAATTAGATGCGCTGAAATGAACGCAACTTCCGAAAATGATCTCTTGGATTATAGTGATATTATGTCTGATCTCGCAAACAATGTAAAGTATGTATAGATAGGTGTAATCTAGAGCCAAGTGTGTTGATTTTTAATCCGAGGGTATCCTGCTATTGACACACTTGTTGAATCATGCAACAGAACGTGACAACAATGGTAATTAATGAGTCAGTCGAGACAGTACTAGTATATGCAGGAAGGCCTAGACAAAGCAATTCTTTGGTGGTTGCAGCCTGCTCCACACCTTTATGTTAATTTATTCATAAATGCATTCACACCCAGTGAATTAATGCAAATTAGGCACATATAACTTAGATTATTTGAACACAAAATATTGTAAACAATACCTGATACAATTAGAAAATGTATGAGTGCATTCTAAGAAAAAATTTGAGCGTGCATGATTAGCATTATTTGACGCAATAACAGGGAAATGCACCACTCCTAACCTCTCAGCCCACTTAAAATCCACCATATCCCTCCATACACTCTTAATTTATGTATAATATTTACATTACGTTAAACTTTACTGAAATCTATTGATCATAAATGCGAATCTGTTCATCTCTATCTCGTTCACAGGGGGAGTTTGTGGAAGACGGTACTGAGACACACTTCACTCTAAGCGACCACGACTGTTGCATTAAGGCCATGAGCAGTGGAAAGAGGCGAGATGGCATTATCCACACTTTGCTCGTGGACGGCACAGAGATAGCTGAAACCACAGAGTGATTTTGTGTGTGTGTTTTGAGCACTTTGACGGAGCGAAGACAGCCTTTGCAAATCAGGGACACAATAATAGACTGAACATTGGTGCTGTGTGATATTTCACTGTCAAGCTGGAGCCCATGAGGTACCTCTGCACAATGACCACGATCTTAGATGGTTATCTCATGGGCTCCAGTTCTGCAGACATACAGTATTTTCTATCATTTTATCTGGTAAACTGACATTATCACCAGTGGGTGAAAGGCAGGATGCGCAGTTGTGTCAAGAGGAGTAGTCATGTCAATAAAAGCCTACTCCTAAATGGGAAAACATTTCTTAATTTTTAAGTTGATATGCCAGAAAGTGCACTGTGTATGAGGAATTATCCTTGTACTTGTACATTTACAAAACAAATGGCACCCTATTCCCATTGACCAGAGGTAGCCATATGGGCCCTGGTCAAATGTAGTGCACTATATAAGGAATAAGGTGCCATTTGGGACGCAGATGCTGTCCATGATCCATGCAGCTCGCTTATAATGCATTCATGTGCCAGTAATTTGCTTTTGTGTGTAGGCTGCAACATTCTAAAACAAATGAATTGTGATAAATGGAGTATTTATAAAACAGATGTGTCCCATGCATAGTTGGTAATTTAGCATCAATGGTATGTTTGATGTTAACGATGCTTTGATGTCAGCCCTTACAACTAATTAATACGTTTAGTTTGGTAGGGGATAAGTGTATGTGAATATAGTATATGAACTTGTTGGCCCAAATTCAAACAATTGCAGATAAAAGATAACCACACTGGGGGTTCATTCAGAATGTTGATGTTGTATTGGAGGTGTTACGTGTTAAAAACGACTCATCTGGGTTAACCCAGAACTATAGTCTTGGATAATTGGTCAGATGCTCGATTAAGTTCTGGGTGTTAAGGGAATAGACATCGAGGATCGGAACCGGAACGAAGAGCTCCACCCTCTCTCTTTGCAAGTCTATGGGCCAAATGTCCCCTCCCATTCCGATTCGTCCAAAGCACCAGAACTAATGCTGCTCGTTATCTCAAGCATCCCGTTGTATCTTGACAGATCTACGCTACCATTTATGTTTATGTAGTCTGGCCACGAGAGATGAAAAACGGACTCTTGGTGCAAGTTGTTCCTCTCACAGACTTTGTCATTGGATATTGACGTGAAAACACATCTGTCCTTAAAGTATAACGTAAACCTGTCCACGCAGCCATTTTCCTTTATCTGTGATTGAGTGAATTGGGGTCAATTCAATGGAACTGGACTTATTTTGCTAGATTCTAACCAGTTTCTGACATGAACGGAATAAACTGTGCTGTTACCCTCAGATTCTATTTATTTTATGTCAAAAGAGCACTATATGTATTCAGGTATAGTTACTGTATTGTTTGTATTATGTACACTACATGACCAAAAGTATGTGGACATCTCATTCCAGAATCATGGGCATTAATTTGGAGTTGGTCACCCCTTTGCTGCTATAAACAGCCTTCACTCTTCTGTGAAGGCTTTCCAATAGATGTTGGAACATTGCTGCGAGGACTTGCTTCCATTCAGCCACAAGAGCATTAGTGAGGTCGGGCACTGATGTTGGGCGATTAGGCCTGGCTTGCAGTCTGCGTTCCAATGTGGTCCTCTGTAGCTCTGCTGGTAGAGCACGGCGCTTGTAACGCCAAGGTAGTGGGTTCGATCCCCGGGACCACCCATACAAAAAATAAATAAAAATGTATGCACGCATGACTGTAAGTCGCTTTGGATAAAAGCGTCTGCTAAATGGCATATTATTATTATTATTAATTCATCCCAAAGGTGTTCGATGGGGTTGAGGTCAGGGCTCTGTGTAGGCCAGTCAAGTTCTTCCACACCGATCTCGACAAACCATTTCTGTATGGACCTCACTTTGTGCACGGCCATGGAAACCCATTTCATGAAGCTCCCGACGAACAGTTATTGTGCTGACGTTGCTTCCAGAGGCAGTTTGGAACTCGGTAGTGAGTGTTGCAACGGAGGACAGAAGATTTTTACGTGCTTCGCACTTCAGCACTCGGCGGTCCCATTCTGTGAGCTTGTGTGGCCTACCACTTTGCGGCTGAGCCGTTGTCCACTTCACAATAACAGCACTTACAGTTGACCGGGGCAGCTCTAGTAGGGCAGAAATTTGACTAATTAAATTGTTGGAAAGGTGGCATCCTATGATGGTGCCACGTTGAAAGTCACTGAGCTCTTCAGTAAAGCCATTCTAATGCTAATGTTTGTCTATGGAGATTGCATGGCTGTGTGCTCGATTTTATACACCTGTCAGCAACGGGTGTGGCTGAAATAGCCGAATTCACTAATTTGAAGCGGTGTCCACATACTTTTGTATATATAGTGTATATTTTGCTTGGTGTGTCAGGTGTTTCAACATGTTTGTAATGTGCAGTGGCGGCTCCTGAAAAAATTCTCAAGAGGGGCAATTTTTCTGATGATTTAGGTGACCTACACACATTTTAAAAAAGATATGTCCAGCAACAACATGAAGACAGGGGCAGCATATAAGTCAATACCAGAAGCATTTATTGACTGATCTCAAAAGTGTTGGCTTACAAAATCAAAATAAGTTATCACAGTAAAAATAATCAAGGGTGTTCTTTCACATTCCTCAACACTGCATAAACAATATGCATTTCCATAAACAAATGAAATAAGAATGAAAACAGAATTTGAAAGTAATTTCTAGAAAAGGTAAACACAGCTATCTGTATGGCTTTGTAAAAATGAACAACCATATTCTGGCCAATTGTATAGATTTGTAAATATGAACAACCATATTCTGGCCAATTGTATAGATTTGTAAAAATGAACATGAACAGATTTTTATTTTTATTACTTTTTTTAAAATGAAAAAAAAAACTATTTTAAACAACATCAACTGTGAACTGATTTGGGCGTGTGTGTGTTAAAGAGACAGACAGGGAGGGACAAAGAGAGAGAGAGGCTACATTACTTGTACTGAAACTGTTCTCTTCTCTGTTTCAATACAGCAAAGCGTTCAATGACTTTCTCATTGAAATCAGGCATGCTGAGGACTAGTTCCCTCTCCATGGAAAGCATGGCCAGTGCATTCAGACGTTCCTGGCCCATTGAATTTCGCAGGAATGTCTTAACTCGTGTCAAAGTTGAGAAACATCTCTCAGCTTCAGCTGTTGTCATGGGAGTAGTTATGAGGATGTTCAACAGAGTCACAGTCTCAGAGAACGTCTCCTGGAGGTTGTAGCTCATGAGAACCTGGTACAGTGCCAGTGCACCACAGCAGCCCTTGAATTCAGGATTCTCATAGATCAGAGATAGTTCTGTCTTGAGCTTTGCCTTGCTCAGCATGGGGTATGCATTCACAGTGGCATTCAGAGCCTCATCAGGAAATGAATGGCAGTACCTTTCAAACATGTCTGCTTGCAGTAAGGTAGCACTCACAAGGTGGCCAGAGAAAGAGAACCTTTCTTTGGTGTGATCCAGGATGGTGTTGCAGACCTCTTCAGACAGCCTCTGCTTCTCCTCTTCTCTCAAAGCTGTTCTGGGTCTTTTGGCTCCTGTTGCTTCTTGCAGCTGCTGTTGAGAGGAGTCCCTGAAGGCAAACAGACCAATGTGTTTGTTGGCTTTGTACAGTATTGTTGTCTATGTGATGCACAGGTATATGCAATGTATCCATGTATAGTACAAATACTTAAGTTCCACTTAAAATGGGCAGGGATGCATAAAGTCTTTAGTGTTTAAGTTAGCCTTTGTGTCTCACATAGCCTGGATGTTCAGCACAGTATACAGTGGTGCTCATAAGCTTATGATCCCATGCTAAAGTTGACTAAAAAGAGGAATAAAAAAGAAAAGAAAATTGGTGTCCTTAAAGGTTGGATTTTCCAACTTTTTTAATTAAGTCATTAAGATCAATTTCCAAAAGATGATTTTTTTATTTTTTTATTCCTCTTTTTAGTCAACTTTAGCATGGGATCATAAGCTTATGAGCACCACTGCACAGTACACATAGTATATAAAATAAGATAGATTACACCACTGGCCATATATAATAAGAATAATGTGATTTCAAACACAAATGCAGTCTCCTTTCATGCATACATTTTCAAATAAAGCTCTGCTTTGAGAAAGATCGAATGATATTGTTTAATCTTACCTTATGGCCTGCACACTGCTTGTGAAGCTGTCGAGGGCACGTTTGATAAAGACAGCATCGATGTCCTTCTTCTGTAGCTTCTGGTACAGAATGTCGACGTGGGGCATGATTTTGTGAAAAAGCCGCAGGAAAAAAATAAAATCTTCATCATGTAGCATCCTCACGTAACCAGATGCCTCTCTCACAGTAAGCTGGTCAAATGAACCCAATGAACCCGTCCGGATGGCTTCAAAACATTCTATGAGGTCGTCTCGATTCTCGTAGACAGTGTTCACGACTCTGCTGTTGAAGTTCCACCGTGTGGATGAAGGTCTGGGCAGTCTTCGTGCAACAGTCTGGTCAAGAATGCTGGTGCGTTTGGGTGACCGGGAAAAAAACGTTGTAATCCCGCTCAGATCGGAAAAGAAAATGTTCACTTTTTTGATGCGAGAAGTAGCTTGATGCATGATCAAATTCAGCTGATGCGCATAGCAATGCACGTAATGGGCATTCTTGAAATGCTCATGCACCTTCTGCTGCACACCTGCCTTCTCTCCCCTCATCACACTGGCTCCATCGTAAGCTTGCGCAATGAGTTTGACTTTCTCGTCATCGGCAAAAAGACCGTTCAGTCTCTCCAAAAGTACACTGGCGATTGAGGCTGAGGTTGATTCCGAGATGGGAAGGAACTCAAAAAAGCGCTCCTGCACTTTGTGCTTGCTATCTATGTACCTCAGCACAAGCACCAACTGTGTCTGCGTAGAAACATCCGTGGTCTCGTCAGCTTGGATAGCTACGAAGTTCGCAGACTTCACCTCCTCCACAATATGTTCCCTCGTGACCGCTAGCATACACTCCAGTAGCTCGTTTTGAATGGTCTTTGATGTGCCCTTGAAAACTTGAGCATTTTTAAGATGGTCATCAAACACCTCATCTAATTGTGCCACAAAGTTGACAAGTCCAAGAAAAATACCAGGGTTGGTGGAGCCCTCAGTTTCATCTTTGCCTCGCAAAGCTAACTCAAACACTCCGCAAAACTTCACACACTGGATTAGCCGGCTGAGGATATGGCGGTTCTTGCTAACCTCATCGTTGTGGCGGCGGACAGCTAGCCTGTATCCCTCATCCAGTTGAGTGGCAATATTCACTCTTCCCAAAGATGACAATCTCAAACAGCTATCCATGTGGGTCTTTGACAGCTCATGTTTCTTTATCTTTTCTGAAAGATGGTGCATGTCGGTTACACCAGTCGCTGTCCAAGCGGTGCTGTCTGCTGTGCCGCCTTCAGGGTGGAA